CGGCACGAACGTTTGCGGCTGGCCTAGGAGCTAGAAGCACTGGAAAATTCACCGTCAACGCAATAAGAGAGTACGAGAGCAAAGAAACCCTTGTTAGAAAAGAGAAAGCTCAAATCTACGTATCCTGGTTCCCAGCCTACATAAGACAGTTACTGAGACTCGACCACTGCAATCCCAACAAAGAGGTCAACCGCCTGGCGCGTGAGCTCACACGTCGCGCCCCGGACAGCGACCCTTCGATGAGTGAGCGGTACGAGAATCTCTGCAGCCAGGACAAAGCACTCACATACCACGAGATCACTTCACACTACCGGGGACAAAGACGTGCCTTCCCAGCACCGCACCCAAAACTTAACAAAGCACAAGCTCCAACTCTAAGAAGATTGCAAACATGTACGTACATAACACCATTCACCTTACAGAGAGTCGACCCCGACACACCACCTACATGCTTCCTTTGCAATCATCCCTATTGCAATTTCGAACACATGCTTTGGCTATCCCCTACCCACAGCGCAGCACAACTGAACACCCAAGAGGCTTGGCAATAAGCCCTCAAGAGCAACGGATACAAGCAGCAACTACAGGCGGTCCAGAGGGCTCGGGACATCGCTGAAAGCCTTCCGCTGCCAGCGCCATCTTGGGCGGAGCCTCCAGGTTGAACTAAGGGTCGGGATGTCTCTTTTTCAGCCTTCTCAGGATATGTTTAAATAAAGTCAATCTCTCCATCTCTTATGACAGAGTGAACTTCATCTCCTTGGTCCTGAATCCCCCAGTGTTTCTCCCCCGCTTTTTAACTTGCTGCCTCAGTCAGTGGCGCTCTTCGTGACCTTGCATGCTTGACATCTCCCCTGCATGTGAGCTCTCAAACTTTGTTAAGCAGCTAAGACGATAAGGGAACTTCACCACTTCATCACTACATGAAATGTATTTAGCATTCCTGCAGCAGCCTGTCTGCATTTCCATCTGCAGTCTCCCTCAGAGGTGCTGTTTTCAGCAGCACACATTTTCAGTCCCTTTCTCGACAATGTACGACCTTGGTTTAAGTGCTTATCAACAATTTTAGATGCAAAGCAGCTCTTTTACCAGTCTGTGTAATGCTGTTCCTCCGCCCCGGGGCGGTGCCAAGGAGGCCACGCCTTCTTTCGCAGTGTGCACACGTGATGTCACTCTCTCTCTAGCCTGTCGCCGCTCCCTGCGTGTCATCTCTCTCGCTTCACCCTCTCAACTGCTCGCCACACTCGAGCCCACTCCTCACGTGGGCATCATAATCTCACTCGCACCATCTCTCTCCATCTGTCGGCGAGAAGAAGCCCCGGGTAGGCATTGCGCTCATGTCTAGCCCTGCCGTAGTCCCACAGCACCAACAATGTGGAAGCACGTCACTTCTTGCCACGCGATCATGCCGAGGGGCTGGACACCGCCGGGGCATGCTTCCCGCTAGTGTGTGCGTACCACTCCCGGCTGTCACCGGCGTCACCGGCGTTGTGGGTTAGCGAAGTCGATCGCAATCGCAAATGGCGACTTTGCGCCTGAAACACCGACAAAGCGTGAGCTAGAGAAGCCGAACGCAAGCATCAGCAGTGGAAGACCAATGTAACCGACGAGGTGCGAGTCAAGAATGCCGATCGCGTTCGAGAATAAAGATGATGCGCGGGCAACGCTGATGAGACGCTAGTCGAGGAAGCCAAGCACAAGCGTCTTGAACGTGTCCCTCCTCCTGTGTCTTTGTTTTTCAAACAAATGTTTACTCCAGTACTACACCGAGTTTCGCTTCAAACCATTTTTCTAGCACCCGCATCGACGCCTGTTTCAACCAGGTCAACACCGTGCGCACAGCTGCTGCTTCGCATCCCATCAGGGTTCTCTTCGGGGAGATGCTCTATAGTGTTTTCCTTTTGGTTGAGCTCCTTCTGTGATTTAGATTAAGGCACCTCTTGGTAGCGATTGTTGATTACAATATTTGTCGTAATTGTTCTGATTTCTTGCCTCCCTTTCTCTCTGGACCATGCTAGGCTTCCCGTACACATTGCAATGTTTCCGTGTTGGTTATACCTCTTTCTGCATAGAATTTTTTTCATACGAATTTGATCGTCATCAATGATAGCATCATACTCCCTTATTGATCCACCTTCATAATTTTCTCTTACTACACCTTAAAACCACTGCCACTCTTAAAACAATGTTGTAAATACGTATTAGTTGACCGGTCTCGGATTGTGTCGAAGAGGCGGGCCTTTTTAGGTGTATTGTGGCATGGGTAACCTCGAAAGTTGATCTGTCACTGTTTTAAATGGATTGTGCTATCAAATTTAGAGGCTATAACAAGCCTCTTGTGGTTTTCCTCTGTATGCAATGTCACTCCACACCAATGGTCGGACACAGCAAATGTTTAAAATATATTTTAATTCACTTTTGAAGTGTACCTTGTTACGAAAAAGAGAGGGTTTTGCCAGTCTTCTTGGGTAGCCTGTTGCGAGAGCCAATGCTGAAAAGGGAGCATCCAGGCTGTGGCAAGACAAAAGGCGGCCAGAAGAAAACAAAGCAAAACATTTCTATTTACAATGTATGTATAGAACGTGGACGAGGAAGCCTTCGATGCTATATTCGCCGGCCTTTTATAGGCGCCGAGACCCTCGAGGAGGAGAATGCACTACCTCTGTTGGGGCGCGCCCAGTGTCTTTGGTGGACACACCCAGTGTCCATGACGGACGCTAACAGTGTCTCTGCAAAGGACGCCAGCACATAACAACCTGAATGCTCATTCTGCCAACCGAAGCCCATCGCAAGCGCATCCAGTATTGACGTAGCTATGTAGGAAGGGCTATGGAGGTTGTACTGACGTCACACCACATCTGTAGTGATCGTAGGCGTGCGCAGGTTTCCCCTTCAGAGGGGACAAAGGTTTATCGCAGCACCCTCCCTATTATGTCAATGTATGAGGCAGACTTAGCCCTCCCTCCAAAGTCACAGTGCCCCCTCCTTATTAAATAAATGTGGAGGGCTAAATTTGCAACCCCCTCCTCTAAGGTGAGTGTAGAAGTAACCACCCCTTTACCCCCCCCCCCCTTGCTCACGACTATAGTAGGGAAGTGAGTGACGTCCGAACCTCCGCCACGTACGTATTGGCAAAGCATCATGGCTGCTGCAGCTTGCCGTGACAACTGTTGACGCATTTGTTTTGCAGGTGCTTGTGTGGCATAGGTGCGCAAAAGCAGACAATAATCAATGGGATGTGCGTCACATTCTTATATGGTCACGCGACCAAGCCACCTACACTTCTTCGGGGCTGCCCAACTCGACGCCCAAAAACTGTCCCCATTAAAAAGGCGATATTAAATTATTAAGCAAGAATAAAAGAATCTTGGGGCATGCATTGCACTTTCTGGAGCTATAAAAAACGCTTGCAGCAAAGAACGCACATGTTACAAATATAGTGGCACCACCCCTTTAATGTGACAAAAGGTGAGCCCAGTACACACTATGTCTACGCTATCAGTGAATAGACTCTGTGGTACTCGGTCAGGAATTGGTTGCAACTACATTTCAACCATTTTTACAAGAACTAAGGTCTGCATTTTAATATGAGAGCTTTATATGGATTGTTCAAAAGCACTCAGTGGTGTGGGTTATAAAAAAAACTGGAAAAGAAAAAGTCACACTAAGGTAAAGGAGAAAATTAATCACAATGTGAAGGGGTAAAGTTAGAGGTGAGAGGTAAAGGAGTTTAAACGAGAGTAGTGTGGTTGATTATTTTAGCCGTGTGTGGCAGTGCAGCATCACTTTCAATGACCTACTGGGTTCCATTAATCACATCACCAAATATGTCTCCTCTGCATAAAAGAAACTAGGAGAATTGATCGAAGGGCCTGTTTTGTTAGCATAGCCATCTGAAGTCAAGGAAGGCACAGGTGAATGTAACTTATAGTTTTAATTCATGTACAGTTATTATGAGATAAAAGGAAAAAATGTGGACAGTAAGAGTTCTTGCTGCCAGGGGAATTCAAATTCACAAATTCCACATTATGGGTGCAATGCACTACCAATTGTGCTGTTGTGGCAGCTGCTCCCCTGTATATTTTATTAGGTATTCATTTATGTGTATATGATTTAACTCTTAGAGAAATAACTTGCGCCACTTGTTACCATAGCAGTGAATGTGAAAAATACTTTATGTCTGGAAAGCAACTGATTACTAAGCACTCATATGCTATTTACAGCAAAGCCTTTAGATAGCAATACTCCTAAATTAACTGTGAAAAGTGCTCTGAAATTTACCGCATTGTACAGTTACTATAAAGTAATTTGACATCTTTGTGCTATTGCAGTGGCAACTGTCTCGTGGTATGTTTCATGAAAAATTTGTTGTTGTTTTTTTCAGTGCAAATGCCTGTAGGTTGATAGTTCATAGAGCCAACCAAAAAGTGTCACATTAAATCTTTCAGGTAATAACCTCATTTGTCAAGAGTTCAGAATAACTTATTTCATGAATAATTAATTAAATATTTTGTACAGGCACGCACCTCTTGTAAAACTTGCCGCCACGGTGGCTCATTGGTTACAGTGCTCGGCTTCTAACCTGAAAGTTGTGGGTTTGTTCTCTATTGTGGTTACCCTATTTCAGTGAAAGCGAAATGCTAATTGGTTAGGCTTTACTATAGCATCTCTCATAGGCCGAGTTGCTTCGAGATGTTAAAACCCCATTAACCAGCCAACCAATTTGATAACGAAATTTGAGAAAAGTTAGACCCTTTGATGCATTGAAAAAAAAAAAAGCATTTTAAAGCTTATAAAATTTATCAGTTCTTTCAACCTTTGTTCTAAAGACTTATATATAACATTTTATATTATGACCGAACCAAGTTTAATTTCAAATGTTGAAGTTCAGATAACTGCAATGTTTGTTCATTCAAATTGTGAAGAAAAAAAATTTTGCAAAGTGCTGTAACATGTATTGAGTACATTTTTTTTCTTATTTCGTCTTTTTTTATTTTTTATAGACCAAGCTGAATGAAACAATCCTTCCATGGGGTCTGGAGGTCATCAAGGTTACTCTGTAAGTGTGCTTTACTCTATTCGTTTGTGAGATGTGAAGTTGATCTCGTATATATCGAACTCAAAGGGTATCGCAAAATAGTTCGATATATCGATAATTTGGAATACAATATATGCATATTTAAGTCCTAAATTTGAACATTTGAGGCTTCAGAAATCGTTACAGGAGCCAGCACAACGATTCACATACAGTGTAATGAAAAACAAGGTGCGAACTGCAAGTTACTGCACTTTATTTCACATGAAAATATTCCGTAAACTTGTCTTGCATCTTGCACGCCGTCAAGTTCCAGTCATCATCAATGTCAATGAAGCTTTTCAAATAAGCCAATTTAGCTCCTTCGGTTACAACAACGTTGATTGACGCAGAACACCGATGAAAGCTTTGTAGCATGGCAAAAAGGTTGGTTAGCAGCGGCAGCGAAGGCATTGGCACATTCATAACCGCATGGCTACACTACCATGGCACCGGCAACGGCAGCCAAAATCTTAGCATCAATGCAGTCAGAAACAGCCACGTCGTCATCGGTACTAATGAAGTTGTTCACTTTTTAAGATGGTGCCCGAAAATGCTGATAAGTCACACAATTCACTGAGGCACCGTACGCTGTTGTCAGTGGTCATTACACACCTGAAGTCGTCACCTGGCCCGCAAGAAGCGTTTATGACGGTGTTTTGCTTGACATCGCTCTGAGCGCCAGTCATAATTTTTTCGCTACGTGAGGGTCAACGTTCAGTTCAATTCCTGAATGAGCATTTATGAGGAACAAGGCAAGAATAAACAAGACCACAAGCTGCAAAAGACACAATGTCGAGTTCGCCCGATTTCCCACTGTATACATGTTGGCAACATCGATGTCACTTGTGGCTTTATAACTGGCAGCCACTGCCTCCAGCGGCTTTGATGCGAGAAGATAAAAAAAAGCCTCGCCTCTGACACGCGTTTTATCACCAAAACACTAAAATTACGTCACAAGGTTTCACATCTCGAAGGCCATGCTTTTCAGGCTCTCATGCCACTTTGCGCTAACAAACAAGCAAAGGACTGCGAATATTGCAATTAGATTGCCAAATCACTTCGCATTCTAATTTCGGTGTCCTCAGCGGAAAACACTATGCCGACGCGCTAAGACCTACAGGTCAGATGTACTAGCAAGTGCCTGCAACGAACCAGATCAGCGCGCTGGAATAAAACCGTTTTTTTGTCACCTGCACGCGAAAAAGGATCGGAACTTTGTAGAACGCCGCTGAAAATTGATCAATATTTGCTAGAAAAAATGCACTTCTTGGGCTTCAGCGCTGCGCAGCGTTCCATATAGCAGATATTCTGTTGTGCGGGAGTTCGATATACGGGGGCACTGGTGCCATACTTTTGCATGGGAAAATCAAGGAGTGTTCTCATTTGTTCGATATAGCCAATATTTCGATATATCCAAGTTTGATATATCCAAGATCGATTGTATTATTATTATAATTGCTGTTACTACCACTACTACTACTACTACTACTACTACTACCACCACCACCTGTACAGAATAATTGAGTGATCATTGAGTGCATGCTGGTTCATGATGATAAGTTTTATCTACAACACACGGCAAAGTCTAACCATAACATCTATCCTAAAAAATTAAACATACAATTTTTATGTGTGAGGAGTCTTCTTAATGTGTATTATCACGTGGAAGAAGCATAGACTCACACCATGGGTCAAAAATTATCCATTGCTCAACGTGCTGGGGTTTCAAAGGCCCACCCATTATGAAGCACTCAAGCATAATTAAGTAATTATTATGCCCAGGTTGTGTTGGGGCTAGTTTTCCTCAATGCTTTTAGTCTCCATATAATCTGCTGCCAGCCTTGTTCTAATTTCGGTAATATATCTGCAGATGCGAGTTTGAAAATGCTCCCTCTATTTCACCTCAGGATCAGCCGACACTAATTATTAAAAAAAAAAAACTGGAATGTAACATTCATGTAACGACACGTTTCAATGTTCGAAGTGTAACTGGAACGCGTTCCTTTCGCATTGAGACTGTCACACTGTGAATTTGATGTCTGGAGCTATGGCTGCTGATTTTGCCAACCAAGCACTACTGCTGAAATTTTCAAGTCTGAAATGCAGGCAAAAGCCATTGCCTAACTGCAGCACTTTGCCAGGTTATGGCCCTCTGTTGTACACTTGTTCAGTGCATTACATGAACACAGAATTGTCGACACACATGGATGCCAGTGCCACCACTGTTTTATGCTGTGCACATGTGCCATTTCCAGGTTCACTGAAGAGAGCAACCTTTTCTTAAAAATTGGGAAGAGCAAGCTGCATGTGATATATTTTTTGGCAAGGTCGATCTACTTTCTTTTTCTCTCAACTTCACTGATAATGGCCAGCTTCACAAGAACAGTAAAGGACCCTGACAGCGAAAGTTTTGTTTGTGGCTTTCTTACGGTAACTTGCAGCTTTATGTCAGGTAATGCCAAAATTAAATTGTATATGCTCTAACGCTTTGTATATTTAATGCTAGCATTGTTAATTCAGAATGATTTTGCATTAGTTCAATATGCCTGCCTAAATATTATAAGAAATAAGCGCCCTACAGTGGGGCAGCACTTGAGACTACGTGCACTCAAGCTTCGGTTACGCTGAACGGGCTGTTTTCAAATAGAGGTACCCACGGGCAGTGAAGAATGAAACATTGTGGGTGCTTTGAGCGTGTTCTCTTCAGAAAAACGAAGAACGTTCCTGGTGTAAGCGACCAAAACCACCTTGAGAAAAATAACAGAGTGTGAGAGGTGATGAACAATAGTCCTCGCCGGGAGCCAGTTGAGGTATTTTGTGCACCCCACAAATGTTCTCCGACATCCAAAATACTTGCTTGACCTCTTCAACGTCAGACTGGGACCCCTGTCAACGTCAAACCACTGAGAATGTCAGTTAGACCTGAATACTCGGATGAGCACCTACCCTTACTTTAAAACCAAATTTAAGTATCTTATAGTCAACATTTGTCACTAATAATCTGTTGAAAGTGCCTCCACATGCAGGACTATCAAGTACACTCAAACCTCATTATAACGTAACGGGATATAATGAAATACAGTGGACTCCCCATAAACGAAACTCGGTTAAATGAAAATGCCTCATTAATGGAACTAAATGGGCCCATATGGCTGGATTTCTATGTGTTGCGCAGTAAAAGTCATCGGTTAATCGAAACACTGCTTATTGGTCACCTATAGTTAAACAGCACAAACTCTAAACACAGCATAAACTCGCTCATGCCAAAGGTAGTCTCACAACCATGGCAACATCTCAAGAACAAGACAAGCCAATCCAGTAGGCACTCTCGCTTGTGGCTGTGGGAGCCGAATTAAACTGGTAGGTGTTCTGTGGCCGAGTCGGCGAGTCAATTGTGCGTTGGGCCTATTTGTGCGGCTAAGTGCGGTGGATCATGGTGTTATTTTAGCCCGATGGAAAGGAAGGGGCCACACCATGCACTCTCGCTTGAAAAAAAGCTGCAAATTCTTCAGAAGCTCGATCGAAGCGGCCTGCTCAAGGTGGAGGTGGCGAAAAAATACATCCCAAAATCGACGCTGTCGGGGATGTGGAAAGACAGAGAAACGATTGAAGTCACTGTTAAGAACAGGACCTTTACATCTAAACGAATGCAGATGCGGGTGACGCCTTATGAACAACTAGAAAAAGTTTTTTTTCTGTGGTTCAAGCATCTACGAAGTTCCAATTTACTTATAAGGGACCGATTCCCGAGCAGAAAGCTCGAGAGATCGTTATGCAAATGGGTGTTAAGAGCTTCATCCTAAGCGACGAATGGCTCTGCCGCTTCAAAACACGCCATGGCCTAGTCTTCAAAGCAATCTCAGGTGAGAATGGTGCAGTCAACAGGGGCGGCTTAAGGAAATTTTGATAAGCTTTGAGCCACAAGACGTCTTCACCGTCGACGAGATTGGTCTTTTTTTATAAGGTGCTTCCATCAAAGACTCTCACTTTCTAAGGTGAAGCCTGTAGTGGAAGAAAACGCAGTAAAGATCGCATCACTGTGCTGGTGGGAGCAAACATGGCAGGAGATGAGAAATATAAGCTGTTGGTAATAAGAAAATAAATGCACCCATGTTGTTTTAAAGGAGTTCGACACTTGCGTACCATGAGAATAGAAGAGCGTGGATGACCATGGCCATTTTCGAAAACTGGCTCCGGGAGGAAGACGCAAGATTTACGAAGCAAGGCAGGAAGGTTGTCTTAATCGTGGATAATTGCCCATCAACGGTCAGGTTCAGGGACTCGAAGTTATCACTCTGGAGTTCTTGCCAGCCAATGCAATGGCAGTGCTCCAGCCAATTGATCAAGGGGTTATTCAGAACATTAAAGTTCATTACCGCAGACAATTGCTCCATCAAAGGCTGGTTAGAGCAGACAGCGGGAAATTCTACAACATAGATTTATGGGCAGCCATCCACATTTTGGCTTGTGCCTGAAAGCTAGTGAAGGCAACAACAATACACAGATGCTTTCACCATGCTGGCTTTCAAGTTCAAGAAAGCAGTACCTAATGAAGAAGAAAGCCCTGCTGATGCCGACATTGAGACAGTATTCTGTCAGGTCGTGCCCCCTGCCCCTTTCACGCTGCAGGATTTCGAATCAATTGATGAAAATGTTTGTACCTTTCATGAAGAGACTGTCAAAGAAATGATTGCCGAACTGCAAGATGAGAATCAACCTTCCAGCGATCAATGTGGTGACAATACTGCTAGTGCAGTGGTGCCACCAGACCGATCAGCTAAAGAGGCTGTTGAACTTTTGCAGCGCTATTTTGAGCATGAGGCTTGTCCAGAATTTCTAGCTAGTTTGTCAGGCATGGGTGTGTATATTGCGAAAAAAGCAACTTGAGCTTGCCAAACAAACCACTCTTCACTCCTTTTTTTCTCCTACTCATCCTCATGAGTAAGGTGAGTTTTGTGCAATTTGAATAAAGGTCTTGGGTC